TTGGAGGGAATGGGAGCATCAATGCTTGCCAGCACAGCCAACGGTGTAGGAACCCTCGCAGCCCTCAAGCACCACATGGTGGCCACATTCCGATTAGCCAACGCTTTATGCTGGAGCGAAACTGCCCAATGGAGTGCTGGCACCGCAGGAATCTGAGATTCCTTGTAATCGCGGGCAAATCCACACGGAACAAGTAAGAATTGGTTTCAGTGTTAGTTTCGTTACAACGTTGTGGAATCAGTGTACTTGGGAAAAAAAGTCTGAAATTTCAGTGTGGCCTAACAAAAAAGGCTGAAAGATCAGTCCCACAAAAATCTCAACACTGATTTTTCAGTGTAGGTAAAAAAAGGACTGCCAAAATCAGGAATTTCAGGGTTTTTTTCCTGATATCTGAGGCCCTGCCCTTAACCATCAGTGTAACCTCTGTTTTTGAAAACATTACCCAAAGTCAACAGTATAAGTTTTTTTTTTCAACCCTGATTGTACTCTAGGTTGTTGAGGATGTGCTGGCAGCAAACTACGACACAATTCCTATTTTTCCCAGGCAAGAGAAATGTCGCGGGTGGGCTGCAAGTAGACATTGAGGTGGGGGGAAATGTAGGTTGGCGAAGGTGTTTGGTTTGGGCTGGTGGTAGTGTACAAGTGGCACGAGGCAATTGGTTTGGGTGCAAGAGAGCGGAAGTTTGGTTGGTGTGTCGAATCGACCTGGTTTTGGTGGTGTCGACTTGGTTTCGTAATCATCATTATCGAGACGAAACTTCAAAGATTTTTCGTCTCAATAAGTCAAGATTGGTCTTGGGGGGGGGGGGGGGGGGGGGGGGTGGGGGGGTGCTGTACGCTGTTCAGGGAAATACTCACTAACAGAAAATTTACACTACACCATCAGTGTCACCTAAACCATTACCCTTACGAATCAGGGTAATTATATTCTCCATTTTTTTTACAGAGGCATCAGCGTGACCCCTAAAATTCACCCTTATAATCAGGGTAACAGTGTGATTTACACTGATAAAATAGGCCCTGGTTTGAATGCCTGCCTGCTAACCACCTTCCAATTACGGTAGCCAGACAAAATTGTATAGAAATGCATCTCTGTAATATTCATTGAGGTGTAGAGCCATAAGACCGTTCCACCCACCTCGACCTGTGCAGCCCTTATCGCCTCGCTTGCTTGCAACCCAACGGCGGTCTTTCACTATCACTCGCTGCCTGCTCTCGCCATTTCATGCACCCTCCATCCGTCCAATGCTCCCAGTCCCGACGCTTCCGCTGCTAACTGCTCCTGTCCTCTCATGACTCCTAGAATATAGCGATTCCGTCCCTATCAGGCGTGGTCGATTTTTGGAGTTACTATGCCAATGATAACGCGTTAATATTTTTTTTTTCCGAAATGTCGATAGACGGTTGTTCTGTAGTTATCAAGTAACGTCGATAGGATATTATTATCATTTAGCGCGGAACCCGTAAGTCGTAGCTTAGGGTTTCGCGTTAAATCCGCGGGCGAGCATGCTTCAGTCAGTAAAAAAAACTTTGGTAGGGGGACGGAAAAAGCAGGGGAAGACAGATGCGGCGTCGCACGACGCGGGCAATGCAGCGGCGGCGACAGCCCCAGCGGGCGCGGCACGGGCAGGGTCGGGTAAATCCGCAGCCGCGCCGAACGCCGGCAAGGCTGCCCCCGCGCACCCGTCAGCTGGAGCCCATCCCGCACCCGCCGGCGCGGCTGCCGGCGCTCCCGACCTGCGCGACCCGATCGACGTGATCGCCCCGACGGACGTGTCGCCGTTCGCGGAGCCGCTGCCGTCGTTGCGCGACGTGGCGGCGGCGGAGAAGGCGGCGCTGTTCGTGCGCAAGGTGCAGCTGTGCGCGCACGTGCTGGAGTTCAGCGACCCGATGGCGCACGTGAAGGAGAAGGAGGTGAAGCGGCAGACGCTGCTGGAGCTGGTCGACTTCATCAACGCCGGCACCGGCAAGCTCGGCGAGCCCGCGCTGCTCGCCGTCACGCGCATGCTCGAGGTGAACCTCTTCCGCCCGCTGCCGCCGTCCGCGCACGAGATGGCGGGCGCGGAGTCGTTCGAGCCGGAGGAGGAGGAGGCGACGATGGAGGCGGCGTGGCCGCACCTGCAGATCGTGTACGAGCTGCTGCTGCGGTACGTGGTGTCGAACGAGACGGACGCGAAGGTGGCCAAGCGGTACATCGACCAGCGCTTCATCCTGAGGCTGCTCAACCTGTTCGACTCCGAGGACCCGCGCGAGCGCGACTACCTGAAGACCATCGTGCACCGCATCTACGGCAAGTTCATGGTGCACCGGCCGTTCATCCGGCGCGCCATCAACCACATCTTCTTCCGCTTCATCTACGACACGCAGCGCCACAACGGCGTGGCGGAGCTGCTGGAGATCCTGGGGTCCATCATCAACGGGTTCGCGCTGCCGCTCAAGGACGAGCACAAGGTGTTCCTCGTACGCGCGCTCATCCCGCTGCACAAGCCCAAGTGCGTCTCCATGTACCAGCAGCAGCTCGCCTACTGCGTCACCCAGTTCGTTGAGAAGGACCCGCGCCTCGCGGACGTGGTGGTGCGCGGTCTGCTGCGGTTCTGGCCGGTGACGAACAGTCAGAAGGAGGTGTTGTTCCTGGGCGAGTTGGAGGAGGTGCTGGAGCTCACCCAGCCGCCCGAGTTCCACGCCCTCGTCCACCCGCTCTTCCTCCAACTCGCGCGCTGCCTCAGCTCCTCGCACTTCCAGGTGCCGTGCCCTGCTGTGCTCTGCGCTGGGGTGGGGTGGTGAACGGAGAGGGGTAGTGGTGGTGCATGAGAGGTGCGGTCATGTCATGGTGGGATTGCTACGACCCAGTCGTGTGGGGCGCAGGGGGTGATGATAGGAGAGAGCGTGCAGTGTGAGATGCGGTTCAGTGCGGTATGATGTGATGTGGAGTGGTGTAGAGTGGTGTGGTGTGACTGACCCTGTGCTTTCTGGTGCATGGGGCTATGCATGTAAGGTTGCCTTGCCAGTAGGCGTGGTACGTGAGAGGTGCAGTGCAGGGGCCACGGCTGCGCCAGGGGTATCGTGCGGGCTCATTCGCGCATGCAGTCACGTGCACGCTCATGCAGTCACATGCACGCTCATGCAGTCACATGCACGCTCATGCAGTCACATGCACGCTCATGCAGTCACATGCACGCTCATGCAGTCACATGCACGCTCATGCAGTCACATGCACGCTCATGCAGTCACATGCACGCTCATGCAGTCACATGCACGCTCATGCAGTCACATGCACGCTCATGCAGTCACATGCACGCTCATGCAGTCACATGCACGCTCATGCAGTCACGTGCACGCTCATGCAGTCACATGCACGCTCATGCAGTCACATGCACGCTCATGCAGTCACATGCACGCTCATGCAGTCACATGCACGCTCATGCAGTCACGTGCACGCTCATGACCGCCGTGCACAACGAGTGTGCCGCGCCACAGGGGGACGAGATGGGGAGAGTATTGAGAGGGGGGGATTGAGGAGAAGAGGGGTTGAGGAGAAGGAGAGAGTGGGGGAGAATCGGAAGACCGAGGGGTGGGGGAGAGTGAGAAGAGGGGGGAATGTGGAGTGGGTGAGAAAGCGAAGAGGGCGAGAGCGTGGCGAGAGGTGGATGGCGCAGTGGGGGAGCGGGAGGAGGCGTGGGGCAGATAGCTGCGTGCAGACAAGGGAATGCCTCGCCTGCTCGGCTGGCAGCACTGCCCATGCCACTGGGCTTCCATTGGCCGCCCACTGTGCGCCAGCCAGCCAGCCAGCGTCCTCCCACATAAATCGCTCCTGTCTGTGCCACGTGGTACATGCAGTGCTGCTGTGCCTCACCTCCTTGCTCCCCCCCTCTCCCCCATTGTTGCCCACCTGCCGGAGCTCCCTTGTCCCGGTGGGCCCACCCCACGGCCACACTGGTGCACTGCTGCAGCCCCGCTGCAGTGCACCAGCCACAACTCATGCACTCACGTCTGTGCGCCCTGTATGCCTCGCTTGCCGTACTTCACCTCACCCCACCCCTCACACGTCCCTGTGCGCCCACAGGTGGCGGAGCGCGCGCTGTTCCTGTGGAACAACGACTACATCGTGACCCTCGTGGCTCAGAACCGCGCCGCCATCCTGCCGCTCATCTTCCCCGCCCTCGAACGCAACGCCAGAAGCCACTGGAACCAGGTAGGGCGGCACTGGAACCAGGTAGGGCGGCACTGGAACCAGGTAGGGCGGCATTGGAACCAGGTAGGGCGGCACTGGAACCAGGTAGGGCGGCACTGGAACCAGGTAGGGCGGCACTGGAACCAGGTAGGGCGGCACTGGAACCAGGTAGGGCGGCACTGGAACCAGGTAGGGAGGCACTGGAACCAGGTAGGGCGGCACTGGAACCAGGTAGGGCGGCACTGGAACCAGGTAGGGCGGCACTGGAACCAGGTAGGGAGGCACTGGAACCAGGTAGGGCGGCACTGGAACCAGGTAGGGCGGCACTGGAACCAGGTAGGGCGGCACTGGAGGGAGGCACTGGAACCAGGTAGGGTGGCACTGGAACCAGGTAGGGCGGCACTGGAACCAGGTAGGGCGGCACTGGAACCAGGTAGGGCGGCACTGGAACCAGGTAGGGCTTCACTGGAACCAGGTAGGGCGGCACTGGAACCAGGTAGGGCGGCACTGGAACCAGGTGCGTGCCCGTGGCATGGCAGGCACACACATGGCATGGCATGGCAGGCAGAAACATGGCATGGCAGGCACATACATGGCACGGCAGGAACACAGATGGCATGGCAGGCACACATAGCACGGACTATAGCCTCGGGAATCAGGTGCAGTGCGCGCACGCAGGGAGGGAGGGGGCGGACAGGAGGACGCAGCAGTAGTGTTGTGGTGTGGGCGTGCTGAGAGCCGTGTGGTGTGGTTCTGTGCGGTGCAGCTGATGCGGTGCAACACAGCTCAAGGTCAACGGCTGGGTTCGTCCTTTCAACCTGGTCCAATGCTATGAAGGGCACAAGGGGAGGTGGAGGAGGGAGGGGCGAGTAAGGGAGCGATGGAGGAAGAGGGTGGACACGGTGGCGGGATGGAGGAAGAGGGTGGACACGGTGGAGGGATGGAGGAAGAGGGTGGACACGGTGGAGGGATGGAGGAAGAGGGTGGACACGGTGGCGGGATGGAGGAAAAGGGTGGACACGGTGGCGGGGCCACGAGGACGTGGAGGGGTAGGGCAGGAAGGGTGCTGAAGACGGAACGATGCAGGAGAGAGGCGAACAGTAGAGAACGCGGACAGAGAGGGAGAGGGGCGTGGGGGACAGGGAGAGGACGCGGGAGAGGAGAGAGAGAGCGAGATTTTGGCTAGGAGAGGAGGGACGGAAAGAGGGAAGGGGGAAAGGAGGAAGAGGGGGAGAGTAGGAAAGACGGAGAGAAGTGAAAGGAGTGAGAGGAGAAGGGAGGGGCAGAGGAAGGGAGGAACTGGGAGAATAGGGGAGTGAGAAAGGGACGGAGGGGGGAGAGGGAGAAAAGGAGGGGAGAAGGAAGGGAGGGAGATTGGAACGGAGGGAGGGGGAAAGGGAGCAGGGGGGGTGGGGGGTGAGGGAGGTGATAGCAGAAATGAGGAGGTGGGATGAATCAAGAAACGGTGGAGAGTTTCAATGTTAATGAGGAGACAGCGGGAAGAGAAGCGAGACAGAGGAGAGAGGGGTGAGAAGAGGGAAACGAGAAATATGTCAGGTGAGAAAGGAGCGAGGCGAGGTAGGAAGGAAAGAGCGAAGGGAGAGAGGGGAGAGAGGGGAGGGAGAGGAGAGAGGAGAGGGGAGAGGGAAAAGAGAAGTGAGTAAAACAACGAGCAGAAGCGGGAGAGAGAGTGGAGAGAAAAGAGGGGAGAGAGGACAGAGGAGGGAGGGACAAGAGAGAGGAGAGGATTGGGGAAAGAAGAGAGAGAAGAGAGGAGGGGGAGGAAGGAAAGGAGTGAGGGAGAGAGAAGAGAGAGTGGAGAGGACAGAGAGGAGGAAGGAAAGACGAAAATGCAAGAGAGAGGTTGGAAAGGAGAGAGGAGAGAGGACCAGGAGGAGAGATAGAGATGAGGGAGGTGAAACTAGAGAGGGTGAGATGAGTGATGGGGCTTAAGCAAGATAGCAGGAGCGGGGCGAGTGAGTAAGAGGAAGAGGAAGTGAGTAGGAAAAGATATAGAGGTAAGTAGGAAGCGCAATGGAGGGGTGGTGAAGGGAATAGCGGAAGCGGCAAGAGGAAATGAATGGAGCAAAAGGAGGGTAGGGAAGTGACGGAGGTGGAGAAGGAAGAAGTGTATAGGTGAACTGAGAGGCTGGAAAGGGGAATGGAGAGAGAGGAAGTTGGGAGGTGGGAGAGGGAGTTGGGAGGAGGGAGGATGAATTGGGAGTAGCAGCTGAGAGGGTTGAACAGAGGGAGGGACAGGGACAGACGTATCAAAGTTGCAATGATTTGGGGAGAGGATGGCAGGGCGGCGGCAGGAAGAAGGGTGAAAAGGAGAGGGAGACAGAAATGAGTGGGGAGCACGAGGTTGATCAAGTGGGTGGTACAAGAGGGGTTACGTTCATCATCCTGCCCATCGCCTGCCCATCGCTTGCCCATCGCCTGTCGCTCATGCTTCCCGCCTCTCATACTGCTGTCCACCCACCCACTCCCCCAAGGTCCTCAAGCATCTCGCTGCGACTCACTGCACCCTATGCTCCACACCCTCCGCCCCAAACCCCCACCTTCCTGAGCCTTCATGGCAAGCACAAGGCCCTCCCCATGCGTCCAGTGGAAGGTGCCACAGGCGATTGCAGACACGCCTCATGGCCTCCCCTGTGCACCGCGTGTATGAAGCATGCGAGGAGTGGAAGCAGCAAGAGCACTGCGGCTCGCGGTAGCAGAAGCAATCACCCGCGGGCAGCAGCCAGGAGGAACTCGTGTGCCACCTTAACAGACCCACCACCCCATCCCTTGTGTGTGCGCACTCACCCACTCCCCATCCCCTACTGTCTCCACGTGCCCACCCCCATCCGTCATCATGGTGCATGGCAGGCGGTGAACGGGCTGACCATCAACGTGCGCAAGATGTTTCTGGAGATGGACCAGCAGCTCTACGACGACTGCCAGCGCCACTTCCTCGAGGACGAGGCGCGCGCTGCTGACGTGGAGGAGCTGCGCGCCGCCACGTGGCAACGGCTGGAAGAGGCTGCAGCGGCGAGGAGCGGTGGGGCAGGGGGCGAGGGGCAAGAGGGTGAGGGGCAAGGGGGCATGGATGTGGACAGCAGAGGCAGGGCAGCGACCAATGGAGCCAGCCCAGGCTTGTGAAGGTGCTTCGGTAAGGTCGGGTAGAGAGCACAGCTCCCAGATCATGATTTTAGTGCTTGTCTCTAGGTCTAACCCAGTTGCTGCTTTCATGAGGATTGGGGTTCTCTGCTGCAACAATGCAGTTTTGAAAAGCGTGGGAAGTCTGCATTGCCTATGTCTATATGTTAAAACTAACATGGCATTCATTGCGTTGCTTGCATCCTCACCTCATCCTTGATGCAACAGAGAAATACCCGTAAGCTCCTGGATTGAGGTGCAGGTGCGCCTATGGAAGTCGGGGGTGCGCCTATGAAAATCAGAGTGGTTTTGGGCTAGTCTGAAAAGTCAGAGTTGGTAAAAAGCATTTTGCTGAAAATCAGACAAATCAGCCATTTTGCATTACAAATCTCATATTTTCTCCTATTTTTTTTCCCAAAAATTGCTGGAAAATCAGTCTCGATTCTAAAAAGGTATGAAATCTCAGCCTTTTTTTAAACCTAAATCAGCCTTTTTTCGCCGACTTCTGAGACCCTGTCAAATGTTATAATCTATTCTTAGGCTACAGTGAGTAGCATTGTAGGGAGTACAGCATATTGCTAGGGTTCCTATTGTCAAAACATATTTCTATGTTGTTAGTTCTGCTAGGCTACAGTGAGGTGCTCAGTATAGAGTACAACCCCAGTTAGGGTTTACTAGTATCTCACTCTTGCATAGTTAATTCATTCCTGCACAGTTCTCTCGACGTGGTTTCAAAGCAGGAACACGGTTAGTTTTTTTTTTTAGGGCCCACCAAATCGATCCGCTCGGACCTGCCCGGGGCGCCCTTGTGCTGCCACGCGCGCTGCCTGCCCTAACGCGCTGCCTGCTGCACGCGCGTTTTCTGCCCGCTAGCGCGCTGCCTGTCGACCGCGCGCGCTGCCTTGCCCGCGCACGCGCTGCCTGTCCGCGAGCGCTGCTTGCCCGCGAGCGCTGCCTGCGCGCACGCGCTGCCTGCTCGCGCTGCTACCCGCGCGAGCCCCCTGCCTGCGCACGTGCTGCCTGCCCGCGAGCGCCCCTACCCGCACGCGCTGCTGCTGCTGCTGCATACGCTGCTGTTGCTGCGCAGCTGCTGCCAACCGCGCTGCTGCGCCTGAGCTGCTGCTGCCGCACGCGCTGCTGTGTTGTGCCCTGCCGAGCCGCGCCACGCCGCGCCTCCCCTGCCCGAGCCTCGCCGCCCTGACCGAGCCGCGCTGCCCTGCCCCTACCGAGCCGCACTGCCCTACTGCTGCTTCTGCTGCTGCTACTGCTGCCGCTGCTGCTGCTGGTGCTGCTGCTACTGGTGCTGCTGCTGCTGCTGCAGCAGCTACTGCTACTGCTGGCACCACTGCTGCTGCTGCTGCTCCTGCTACTATGGCCACCATCTCGGTTCTTAGCTTTGATGCGGAGGGTCTCCCGATTAGCTTTGACGTTTGGCTCGACGATCTCCAGCTGTTCCTGCAGAGCGAGGCTAGGGATGGAGTTTCATTGATAGAACATAGTTCAGGATCCCTCCTCGCCCCACCTGCTACAGCCGACCGCTTAGATCAGTCGAAGTGGCTCATGCGTGACACTACTGCCCGCCTTGCTGTCCGCAATCACCTCCCACTAGCTGAGAGAGCCCACTTTGGCCAGCAGAAGACAGCCAAAGACCTCTATGACGCAGTTGTCGCTCGTTACTCCTCCCCAGCTACTGCTGCCCTAGGCCGCCTCATTCTGCCATACCTCTTTCCTGAGCTCGCAGGTTTCCGCACTGTTGCTGATCTCATGACCCGCCTTCGCTCTAGTGAGACTCGAAAACGGCGCCGCTCTCAAGCCGGCCTTCCTCAAAGAGAACCCCCCCGCTCTATATCACCCCGTACTTCCTTGTTACCCGCCTCCCGGACTCCCTCCGCACAGTTAGGGACCACTTTCTCGCCCTTGACCCCATTGAGCTCACGCTTGCCTCGCTGGAGAAGTACCTTCTCAAGGCTGAGACCAGTGTTGTCGCTGTCGCTGCCTCTCGTGGCACTCCCCGCTCCCCCTTTTTTGAAGGGTGTGCTCCCTCCCCTCTCAAACCCTCAGTTGCCACTGCTGCTGCTGTCGACCTCCTTGGTGCTGAGGAAGTCGGCGCTGCGTCTGCTCCTAGTGAGAGGCGCCAAAGCGGCAAGGGTAAGGGAGGTGGGGGTGGCGCTAGCTTTGTGGTAGCGGGGTTGGAGGCGGTGGAGGTGGCACCAGAGGTGGAGGCGGTGGAGGTGGCGGGGGCGGTGGAGGTGGCCGGGGTGGTGAAGGTGGCGGGGGTGGTGGAGGCGGGCGGAGTGGAGCTGGCAAGGGTGGAGGCTATGGGGGCTCAGCTCGTGGCGGCGGAGGCTATGGGAGTGGACCGCCATTGCCACACCTCTTGGACACACCCACCCTTCAGCAGCTTTGTGAGTAGGTTGTCCAGCGTGGTTGCGTGGTTCCCCTGGGGGCTCTGGTCGCTGCACATATGTCAGGCGCACGGGGCTCAAGAAGGGCCAGACCTGCGGGAACCCTGGGCACACTGAGTATCACTGCTTTGGTCGTCTTGAGGATGCCTGGGTGGCTGAGTCCGGTGATGAGCAGGAGGTCCCCAACTGGCTGGGATTGATAGCAAAGGGAATGGATGTGTTTGCTCTTAACTTTGCTGCTATCAACAAAGGAATCTATGCTATGTATGTTGATGTTATTAGTGCTAAGGGTGCCTGTTACACGCGTGTGCCTTGCCCTGCTAGTGAGTCTGCTGCCACTCTAGGTGCTAGTGCGTCTGCTCCCACAGGTGCTATTGAGTCTGCTGCTAGTGAATCTGCTGCCTCAGCTGAGGCCTTGCACACTTTCACACTTGACTCTGGTGTGTCTCGTTGCTTCTTTCGTGATTGCACCACAGTCACACCGCTCGCTGCACCAGTCCCGGTCTCACAGGCTGACCCCTCTGGGGGCCCCGTCGTCGCACGAGCCTCCACTGTCCTCCTGTGTCCGGCAATCCCCCCCGGATCTCTTTCAGGTCTCCACCTCCCCTCGTTCTCGACGAATTTGGTGAGCAACTCAGTCCTTCAGGATGTATGGGTTGATACCTTTACTCCTAAAGGGCAGCGTGTGGCGATCTGTACGTGCTCTCGGACTGGCCATCATCTTGCTATGTTCACTCGGCAGCCTGGGTCCAGTCTGTACACCTTGAACACTGCGTCTGCACAGGTGGCTGCGTCAGGTCAGGTGGCTGCGTCGAGTCAGGTGTCAGCGTCTGGTCAGCTCGCTGCATCGTGCTCGTGTCAGGTACTCTCCCACCAGACTCTCCTCTGGCACCACCGCCTCGGTCACCCCTCTCTGCCGCGTCTGCACAGCATGCACTCTCGTCTCCTTGTCTCTGGCCTTCCCAGGTCCCTGCCCCCCCTCCCGCGCTCGCTTGCCCCACCATGCCTTCCCTGTGTCAAGGGGCGGCAGCGCGCCGATCCTCACTCCTCCTTTCCTCCGACCACTACTCCTCTACAGACTCTCCACATGGACGTGTGGGGCCCGGCCCCCGTCCTTGGGACGGACCAGGAGCGCTACTTCCTGCTGGTCGTTCACGACTACACGCGCTACACCACGGACTTCCCCTTGCGCAGCAAGGCGGGCGTTAGAGGTGTTTTGATCCCCTGGATCCGCGCTACTCGTCACAAGCTGCGCGAGCGGTTTCAGCGGGACCTTCCAGTCCTACGTCTGCACTTTGACAGGGGTGGTGAGTTCTCTTCTGGCCTCCTTGCGGAGTTCTGTCGAGACGAGGGCATTATACAGTCGTTCACGCTTCCGGCCTCTCCGCAGCAAAATGGGATTGCTGAGCATCGCATTGGCTTGATCATGGAGGCTGCTCGTACCTCCATGATCCATGCGGCTGCTCCCCATTTTCTGTGGCCATTTGCGGTCCGATACGCCGCGCATCAGCTCAACCTCAGGCCCCGTGTCTCTTTGCCAGAGACCTCGCCCACACTCCGTTGGACGGGAGAGGTTGGCGATGCGTCGGTGTTTCGGGTCTAGGGCGCGCTCTCCCTTGTTCGCGATACCACCGCGAGCAAGCCCTCTCCTCGCACTCTTTGCTACACCTTCCTCGGCCTCCCCACCGACGCCCCGCCGTAGCAGTTTTACCACCCTCGCTCGCGTCGAGTCCTGTCCTTCCAAGACGTCACATTTGACGAGTCTGTCTATTTCTACAGGCTCCACCCGCACGCGTCCCACCCGATCCCCCTGGCGCCTCTCTTCCTGGTACCAGTTCCCCCCCCCCGGTAGACCCCCTCCCCCCACAGGGTCCTGCTCCCTCAATTGTCTCTCAGGTAGACCCACCCCCCTTGGTTGAGCCTTTGGTGGTCTCCTCTGACCCCTTTGGCCGGGCTGAGGGGGGTGACCCTGCCGCTGACGACACGGCGGCCACTCGTTGCTCTCCTCGCTTGGAGACCCCTCCTTGTTTTCCACCTCGGCCGTCTTCGCCGCCTCTGCAGCCTGTAGCTGTGGACACTGGTGCTGCTGGGGGTGGTGACCCTGGGGGTGAGGACTCTGGAGGTGCTGGTCCTAGGGGTGCTGAGACTGGGGGTGAGGGTTCTAGGGCTGCTGACTCTGGGGGTGCTGCGAGTCCTAGTGGTGGTGGGGCCGTGGGTGCTCCTACTGCAGGTCCTGGCATTGGATAGCTGCAGCTGCCTAGTCGACTCGAGACGCCCTCACCGCGGCAGCTTCGTGAGTGGGTCGTTCAGCGAAGCCGCTCTGGTGCTGGAGCTTGGAGTTTTACAGGTCCTGCAGCTGCTGGTACTAGAGGTACTACTGGAGGTGATGGGGGTGCTAGAGCTACTCGCACTGGAGGTGCTGGTGCTGCTGGTGCTAGAGGCGTTGGAGCTAGAGGTACTGGAGGTACTGGAGCTGCTGGTCCTGGAGGTGCTCGTACTAGAGGTACTGGAGCTGCCGGAGCTGGTGGTGCTGCTGGTGCTGGAGGTGCTAGAGGCGCTACTGGAGGTGCTGGGGGTGCTGGTGTGAAGATTGAAACAGGAATGAATGAACTAGGAAAGTGTGAGATACAAATATGAAAGCTGTACCCCTTAGTGTCTACCCCACTACAGCCTACATAGGCTAAGGCATACATATCTAACACACCCCCATAGGCAAAGTGGGGGAGAACTAGGGGTCACAAGACCAGTCAAGCAAAGCAAAGCAAAGCAAGCTCAGGGTGGATCACGACGTCACCACACAGTCTGAGCA